GACTGTCGTTGGGTCATGGACCCAGTCCTGAGATGATCACTGAGTCCAGGATGAGGTGGTGCTCTGATTGGCTAAGCTTGTGTCTCATGCCCAGTCCTGGAGCTGGAGTACAGGCAGCTCCAATCTAAACCACGGGGATGGAGCATGGGGGGAGGGGTGGTTCCCCAAAGGAAACCCAGGATACTGACACCCAAAGAAGGAGGAATAGAGGCTGTGAAACAGAACTCATAAATATCTACTATCTAGGCTAAGGAAACAGAAACACACACAATTTACTCTCATAAAAACCTAATGGCACTAGGTGTTCTAAGTGAGATATTTGGAAAGTACAGATGAAAAGCCATCAATTCTGAGAAACCTAGGCATCAATGAGCGTTTTTAGAAAAGGCAACATCTGTGTTGGGCCTTGAAGTATAAGCGGGGAGGCTGGGACAGGGCATTCTAGGCAGAGGGAGCAATGTGCAAATATACTCAGAGATTTCTAAGGGGGTGGTACATTCCGGAGAACATTAGACCAGTGTGTATTGAGGACTTGTAGGTTGATATAAATATGATATTTCTGACCTTTGAGGCCTGAAATGTTTCCCCGTCACTGATGTATATATGCATTTACTGAACATTCGCAGATATAAGCCTTTAGCTCTCAAATTATATACAAGCATGGACACATTACATGCAATAGTGAAATCATCAGGGATTTTGAATTCAGTCAGACCTGGTATGAATCCCAGCTCAGCCATCTACTGGCTGTATGACCATAGATAAGTAATTTAAGTATTTTAGCTTTCATGTTTTTATCTGTAGGAGGGTGACTTATCCACTGCATAATGTTTTTGTGAGAATTAATGAAGTTCACACATGGAAATTACCCAAAAATGGTGTCTGGGATATAACAGACACTCACTAAATACTACTTTCTCTCTCTGCCCCCCTCCTCTATATATATACCTATAGTGTTTCTAATAAGAACATGAAATTGATTTGTTTTATTACACACGTACTGACCACTTGTTGACCACAGCATTAGAAGCTCTGATTGGGCTGTGTGCAACTATTCTCTTCTGTGCCCAGTACCTTAGGAGGCTGGCCTTTTAGGATTTCAGTGACTGATTCCCATGCCCTCTACCTAACAGTAGGTTCAAAGAAATAGGTAGCCAGCAGGAGATGCAGGGAAGAAAGAGAGTCAATTTGGGGGTCATATGCCAAAAAATCCCTTTCTATAAAGTTATCAGAGTTCTTGTCAGACAGCCTTCTCCATCCACCTCCCATTCTTTTCTTCTCTCCACTTCTCTCTCCTGATAACCTTCCTTCCACTGTTCCTTCAGGCTTAAAAGGATACACAGCACTCTGACCATTATTAGCTTCACGTCATGGCTCTATCCCTTGTGCTGTCCATATCCCCCTCCCTCACCTTTGCTAGTTACTCCTTTATTAATTTCTCCTTAAATTACCCAATTTGACTTTACCATTGCTTTCCTATTGGGTCCCCAACTAGTCCTGACATCAAGGATAACTTGATACCATCATTAATTTGATGAGGGCCCCTCAAAAAATCAACTGAGATAAATAAACCCTTAGTTCTATAGATAAGGGGAGGAAATCCCCAGATTGCATGGGGACGCTTTGTTTAAATGTAGCTAATGTTTAAGATATTTACCTTCTTAAGAAGACCTGTACTTTCTTCTGGAGTATGGTGGTGTGTCCTTCATTTGGGTTTCATGGATTATAAGTGACCTGATAATGAGTACAAGAAACAGGTGAAGATTTTTCTCCTCCTGGGTTAGGTTGGAGGCAGGGGAAATGGGCTTTTGATCGTTTTTGAGTCTTAAAATTGTTGCATATAGGTCAGCCATTTCAAAAGCAAAAAAAAAAAAAAAAAAAAAAAAACCACATCTTTTTTGATAAATAATATCCAGTAAATAACCCTCCACTCTTCTCTTTAAATACTGATACCAAATCCTATAAGAAAAACTCTGTTACTTGTAAATGAAAGGTACATTGGATCGGTGGATCAAAATGGAGAAACAGATCATAATGAGTCAAGTGTCTGTGGCATAACTTTGAATAAGATCACTTTTATGCCATCTAAAGCCATTGGATTTCAAGCAGACTACTAAATTGAACCACAAGGAATTGCTAACAGTCTACCATTTTTTGACCTATGAAATGACAATTTCCTAGCATTCAAATAACAGATGATTCTTGCTCTTCTTTAAGAAGAAAGCATGACCTTCATTTCCTCCCCATTTCCTTGTAAGTATTTTCTCCTTACTTTAGTGGATGGATGCCAGGCTTTTCTCTAATGGTTTCTCTGATGAAATATCTAACAGATGAGTAGACAAACTTTATCACACTATTTAGTTTTTTTATTTGTGAATTAATTGTTTAAGTTGTATTGACTTTGTTCTCTGTATTTTCTATATGAGACTTTGGATAAACATATACAAATCAATATAATTCCAGAAGACAAAATCTGATTGCCACTGGAAGCTAATGCCTAGAAGTATGTGAACTACTAATAATCACAAAGCCTTTGCTGCAATACCCTGTTGGCTATTTAAAAACTCTATTCTCAGTTTAAAGTTTTTTTAAAAAAACACATCTAGTCTTAGTGGTAAATATCCTTTTATTCTGACATTTACTTTAAATGACTGTGCTTTCTTATAAAACTAAGAGGTAGCCTACAAATCTTCAACCAATACTACCACATTCTTCACAATGCTGGGTTGCATATGTTTAAGATTTAAGCTTAAAAAGCTTTTTTTTTCCTTAAGGTAAAAAAAAAAATCATCCAATTATATACAAGCCAAGATTATGCAATGCATTTGAATCTGTGCATGGGGAAAGTTATGAGAGACTCTTGCTATGGGGATTATTTGGGGTGTGGTTCCTCCGAAGGGAGTAAGCCCAGGTTTTAGATAAAGTTTAAAAAAAAATCATCCTCTGAAACTAAAGCTACTAATGTCAACATAATATCACAAAATAAGTTCTTTGCGAAAGAAACATACTAAATAATAATCTATGTATGTATTGCTTGTAAGACAAGTGTGTCCCCTAAAGGCATCTTAAAAAAAACTTATCAGTAAAAATTCCCTCTAAATATTTGTACAATACAAAATAAACTATAATCCGCTTAACTGAAATATTATGCTACAAAAGGTGATTTTTAGACAGAGAATTGTGTGAACTCTTAGGACTGTCTGTGTATAAAGTCTTTTGTCCTGTAGTCATATCATGTGCCTAGGATTTTTCATTTTTATTTTATTTTTATCGATTTCTATTTATTTATTTAGAAACAGAGTCTCATTCTGTCGCCCAGGTTGAAGTGCAGTTGCCTAGGCTGGTCTTGAACTCCTGACGTCAAGTGATACTCCCACCTCAGCCTCCTAAAGTACTGGGGTTACACGGGTATGCCACTGTGCCTGGTCTCTATAATTTTTTAAAATAGAAAAATATAACTCCTGTGTTTATAAGTATATGAGTTTCCTGTGGCTGATGTAACAGATTGCCACAAACTTGGTGGCTTAAAACAGCAAGAAATGTATCCTCTCATAGTTCTTGAGGCCAAAAGTCTGAAATCAGGGCTGAAATCACTGTGTTGGTAGGGCCTTGCTCCCCTAGGCGCCCTTGGGATGAATCTGTTTCTTGCCTCTTTTAGCTTCTGGTGGCTCCTGCACTGCATTCTTTGATGGTGGCCATGTCATGTCAATCTTCAACACCAGCATCGTCAAATCTCTCTCTACTTCATCTTCATGTCACCCTTTCTTTGATGCGTTTCTTTGCCTACCTTTTATAAAGATACATGTAACTGCATTTAAAGTCCACTTTGATAATACAGGATAATCTCCCCATCTCAGGATACATATTTTAATCATGTCTGAACATACTTTTCCCATATAGGGCATCATTTACAAATTCCAGGGATTAGCACATTAATAATATTGGGGGGTGGTGCATTTTTAACACTACTACTATAGGGAAGGTTAGATAAAGCAGAATAATGAGCTGGAAGGACTAGAACTTACGAAACCAAGCTCAAGTCCTTGAATTTGTCTAGGTTTTCTTGAGAAAGTCAATTATTTGAGACTCACTTTCATTATCTATAAAATGAGTATTGGGTATAAGGAAACAGATGATATCCCTACGTTTTTGTTTCAAAATTATATTAGGCATGAATAAGACAGACTGCCAGTATTTATCTTTCATTCTCTAAGGAAAGAGAGAGAGTTCAGGTATTTGGTGGCTACAAACTTTTTAACCATCAGAAAAATACAGGTGATAGTGGAATCAGGTTAAGTCTCTAGTCTATATCATACATCCTGCAAGAACATTCAGAGATCACAAGCAACCTTCTGACTGTTAATTCTGCGCATCAAGTACCTTGATTTCAGGAAGTCCTGACATCTAGAAAAAATATATATCTTTTATTATAAATTGACAAATTGCCCTTCTGGCTCGGAAACCAGACTTTATTGATTTCATTAGACCTGACCACTGCAAATTGAATGAATAAAGTGTAGCTCCTTAGTCCTCCAAATTTGAGTTGCATGGTGAGCCTTATTCTGAAAGGACCTGACATTTATTAATTTATTTAACAGACGCTTATATAATGCCAATAATATTAATAATAATACTGGTATTTCACATGCATTGAAGACTTACTCTGTGAAGCCACAGAGATAAACACTCTACATTAATTGTTTCCTTTGCTGTCCACAATTTTCCAAAGAAGCCAAGTGTTATTCAACAAATCACTGAATACCTACTAAGTGCCAGGCATGTAATGGTGCTATGGAATATAAAGATGAACAGGGGCCTTCACTCAAAGAAACATAGTATCTAAAGGAGGAGACAAAAATTAAGCAAAGAGCCAACAGAAGCAAACGTAACGTTTACAACTGCGTTAAAAGCTGCCTACCAACAGGAGGTACATGATGCTATTAAACTTGCTGCAGAGGAAACGTAAATCATTTTGAGAGAAATTTTGTGATTTGTTCCAGGTCACAACCTAAATAAGAAGAGTCTGACTTTTGATCCAGGACTGCTGACTTGGAAGCCCCATTGGTAACTACTATGCCATACTCCATGTCTGTTTTCTCCATCACTGTTTGAAGTTTAACATGCCCGTCTTTTCTGTTGGCAGTCTTTAAGTGGTCATTTTCCCACCATGACTGCTTGGCTCCACAGTTTAGTTTTTATTGACTCTTTTGAACATTCCCAGTGTGTGGAAATTTTTAAAAGAGCCCTCAAGCCATTTCTGGAATCTACGACACAGAGTTTAGATCTCATTCTATTAAGAGTTTGAATCTAAACCCACTTCTGAAAAGTGAAAGTATGTACTCAGTAAATTCCTGAAACTGACAAGAACTCTTTGGCTATTATTCAAAAATGTCTAATACCATGAACTAAAATGGTGAGTTATTTCCGCACTTCACACACAACCCATCCAACCCTTGAAAGTAGAGTGTTAAACTATGTTTATCACTGGGTGCAAAACCGTTTCCCCTTGAAGATAATCTGAAATAATTTGATAATGATGGTGGATTAGAAGGCAGTGTTGATTCAAAATATTTAAATCTGCTATGCTTACATTTTTAAAAAGTGAACACATTTTGTATACAATAAACTATTCATATAAGATTTTTCAATTAAACTTCACATGCTGCTAACTAGTTATGACATTAGTAAACACAGCTTTTCCCTCTTATATTAACATAGCTGCATTGAGTGTGAACTCACTTTTAGTTCTTTTTGCCCAAACTATAGTCAGTTTTTCATATATGAACAATATATTTTTATGTGGGCAGGCCCAGAAAAAGCCAATATTCACCATGTATTTTATAGTTTCTGCAGATAAATACTAGTAGAGGTGTTGGTTTTCTATCCAGTTTAATTAAAAAAATAAATTTGGTTTAAAGTATTTTTCCCACTTATATACAATATTATCAAATAATAGAAATTAGTCATTTAAAAAACTTTAGACATTTAATTTTTTTATGGTTTTATAATTTGAATTAATGGCAAAAATCAAAAACTTAAGAGTTTCCTCCCCTTGCTTTGGAATACACAATCAATTCTGAAGACCATTCCCTTGAGCTGCTAAGAGGCAAACTTGTTAGCAAATCAAGAAGTGACCCCGTGGACTTGCATAAACACCATTACACACCCAACAGGAAGGGTTGTGACCAAGTAAACAGCACAATTCAAACTTAAACACCAGCTATACAATTGTTCAGTCCCATTTAAGTTGGTGACAAATGCTATTTAATCCCAAGTAACCACTCTTTCATTCATCACGATTCCCATGTAGCTCTATAATCTATTGTAGCAGAAGATTCCTAAGAAATCATCTTCATTCTCCCTAGAGCTGGTCAGCCCTATTTTAGAAATCCTAAAGTAAATACTTATAATCCCTGTACTCTTTAAGTGATCACTCAAAGAGGACATGACATGTTCTTTTAAGGACCAAACAGCTGGTTCATTTCCCAATTAGGGGAGAGTGCTGTAAATGATAGTTCTAAATAAATATATAATCTACTGATAAGGACAATGTAAATATTTATGACAATTAGGAAAATTAACGTACATGTATTTGAATACTCTCCAGAAGATGAAATCTATCCATTGTAACATTTGTCAGAAAGAGTCACTTTGGTGGATTCTTCTCAGGAAGTTGTGTTACTTGGCTGTTTTGCTGCTAAGCTGCCTCAGGCTCTAGAAGGGTTGTACAGGAGGGAGAGTCTTAAGAACCCTTTCAGGGATTATAAGAATGATTTTATGAAACTTACTGGCATTTGTAAAATAATCTCAAGATGTGGATTAAAAAAAAATGGAGCCATTTTCAGCAAATTGCCTTCCAAAATGTAAGCTGCATTCCTTGCTCTCATTATTTCAAATATTGGATGGGGTGAAACTGGATGGCCCTTGCCCTCAACCATTTGGTGAAATGCACTAAAGGACTACAGAGGGAAGGACAAAAGACAGAGTTTGCAGGGGCCTGAGCAATCTGTCGTTCTAATTATATCCCTGTATTAGTTTTCACATACACATGGTAACCACAAAGACTCAGAACAATGCTTCAGTTCAAGAATACTTTTTTTTCCAGGTAAGGTTGTATTCCTGCATAAGACCCATAAAATGGAAAAATAGAATAATATACTACATATTACAATATTGCAACCAATTTTTTGCAAGCCCTTGTTGAAATTTAGGTGAATTGCTTGGTCCTTAGTTTTCCCATCATTGAAAAGGGATAGTGCTATAGTCCTTTTCAGCTGCCTTAAGAAAATAGTTTGAACCACTGCATGTCCTCTCATAAGTGGGTATTGAACATTGAGAGCACATGGACACAGGGAGGGGAACATCACACACCCGGGCCTGTCGGGGGGTGAGGGGACAGAGGAGGGATACAAGAGGAGAAATACCTAATGTAGATGATGGGGTGATGGATGCAGCAAACCACTATGTCACGTGTATACCTATGTGCATGTTCTGCACATGTACCCCAGAACTTAAAGCATAATTTAAAAAAAAAATAGTTTGAGCATCCAAGCATTATATTTCAACTTGATAAAATGATGGTAATTAGATTATCAATAATATCTAATTATAATTAGATATTATAATTCTCTAATTATAAAAAGAATAAGTGGTTATTATAATACAATGATGAATGAATAAGAAAACAAAAATACCTTCTTTTCCATTGTCAAAGTTTTCCTCATGGGTGGGTGGTTATGCATGTGTGTGTGTGCACACATGTGTGTAGACACACATTACATGTATGGTTATGTACCACATAATGACATTTTGGTCAAAGAGAGACTGCATATATGATGATGATTCCATAAGTTTATAAGGGAGCTGAAAAATTCCTATTGCCTAGTGACACAGTAGCCATCATAACATTGTAGCACAGCACATTACCTTTTCTATGTTTACATATGTTTAGACACATAGACACGTAGCATTGTGTTACAGTTGCCTATAGTATTCCCTACAGTACAAACATGCTGTACAAGTTTGCAGCCTGGGAGAAACAGGCTATTCCATATAGCCTCACTGTGTAGTAGGATATCCCATCTGGGTTTGTGGAAGGACATTCTATGATGTTCACACAACGTTACATATCTCACATTTCTCGGAATGTATCCCTGTTGTTAAGTGATGTGTGACTGTGTAGGCTATGCTGAATATTCATATGTAAATATTACTCTGTGATCTAGCTATTGTGAACATTTCTCCATGTCATTAAATGCTTTGCAAACATATGACTTTTAGGGCTGCGCAATACTCCATTAAATAGATGAGTCATGATATATTTTATGGTAACTATTGTCGGATAATTAGGTAGTTTCTAATATAAATTGTCTCTTGTAAAAAAAGCCTATCCCTGTTGTGTTTTAGTCTTTCAATCTCCCTTTTATCTTTCATGGTAGATTCAAAGGCTAAGACAGTGAAGACAGGAAGATGCGGTTATGAATCACTGCCTACTACCTGTTGGCTGTGTGATCTCTGTAGACATTTAACTTCTTGGGGAAATTCAGTTTTGTTATTTGCCAAATGGGGATCACAGCTCTGTCTTTCAAAGCCACTGTGAAGATGTGTTGATAATGTATGTTATGTGCCTGCCACACAGAAAACTCCTTGTAAGAATCAGGCTCCCTCTTTTTCTTTTTCTCTTTTTCTTAATCCAGGATTCCAAGGTGCCCATAATTAAGTTTGCTTCTCTGTGACAACCCTGGAAATTGTGTGCAAAATTTTGTATGTTCAGATATTTTTGGGAAAAAGACTTTCACAATATAAGAATCACTACAAATCTCCTTTCTGCCTCTTGGCTTTCCATTTTGCTATAAAATGATGGGACTGATATTTGCCCAATCCCTAATGGCTGCTTTATTGTTTTGTATTTCTCTGTTAATATCCCCCTTGTCCGTTGGTGAGTTTACTGTTCAATATGAACCAAGCCTGACACACAATCTCTGTGCTGAAATCCCAAATTCCAAGGCACGCTTTCCACTTCCTGATACACAATAAAGCACGCAATAAATGTTACTTGTTGCTCCTGTTATTATATACACGAGGAAATTTTTAGAAGAAGGCACATGCATCTTAAATTAAATGCTAGTTTGATTATGGAAGATACATTACATATGAATGGATCACTCACTCTCTCTCTTTTTCTGTCTTTTATGACAAGACCTGTGCGGATTTGGCCAAATTCTAAAACACGTACAGGTTCCATTTATCTTGTATAGGTTTATAAACACATCGAGCAGCCAGAGATTACTATTTCTTTTATATCGTAACAAAAGGATGTGTGGCGGGGGAGAGGAATTTGGCAATAGGCAAACATTAGTTTAAGACTTTAAAATGAGATGAGGGTCCATCTGTCTTGAATAACTTAGACCACAAGTTGACTACTAAAGGGGAAACTGCTGAAATTCTTCCCAAGTTTGCAATTCTCTGATCTTACACATGTTCCCTTTGACAAATTTCTCTAAAGCAAGTACGTTTTAGAATGTCCATTACATAGCTGGACTGCTGAGGTTAGTTGTCATACCAAGGAAATTCCTCCATTTTGATCTCCCAGGAGTGGGTCACTGATGCCACTGTTTGCTGTTTAAATAACTGACTCCTAAAACATTTGACTTGCATCTTTCTGCTCACAGCAATAGCACTCCACACCTCACTCAAGAAAAAAGAAAGTTTTCTTTTGTTTTACTATGCCTCATAGGTGCTTTTGGAAATATCTGGAAATGAATTCACACCTCTCAGAAATGAATACTTATGGAAAATAGAGCCTGGACTCAGAAAAAATGGCTGCATTATTCTCCTTTGTATTTTCAGAAGCCAAAACCAGAAGCAGTATCCCAAGTCTTGGAATCTGTTTCCTCTGTTCCACTACCCATGCTACATAGGTCAATTATAGAAAGTTCATTTCAGGCCAGGTGCAGTGGCTCACATCTGTAATCCCAGCACTTTGGGAGGCTGAGGCAGGTGGATCACAGGTCGAGAGATCAAGACCATCCTGGTCAATATGGTGAAACCCCGTCTTTATTAAAAATACAAAAAATAGCTGGGCATGGTGGTACGCGCCTGTAGTCGCAGCTACTCGGGAGGCTGAGGAAGGAGAATTGCTTGAACCCAGGAGGCAGAGGTTGTGGTGAGCCGAGATTGTGCCACTGCACTCCAGCTTGGGTAACAAGAGCGAAACTCCGTCTCAAAAAAAAAAAAAAAAAAAAAAAAAAGTTTGTTTCTGCCATCTACTCTTGCCTACTGTTGGCAGGTTATTCATTATAGCCCCAAAAGAAACATGCCTTTCTGCCTCCATTTCGTCATCTCTCACACTGAGCTTTGGCCACTGGGCAATCAGAACATGTAATGCAAGCAGAGGCTTATGCATTGGAACTTGTGTCTCAAAATGCTGTTACCATATGAAGAAGCCAGGGTATCTTTCTGGAGATATGTAGGCCAAGCTACAGCCTGCATCAAACGCCATACACGAGTGGGGTCACCATGGATCTTCTGGCCTAAGCTAGATAACTGCCACCCAGCTGACCCCAGCCCCAAATGCTGACCCCCAAATCAAGGGCAATTAAAATGGTCACTTTAAGCTCAGAAGCTTTGGATGCAGCAATAGATAAGTGAGATACCTATGCTGACTTGGTAAAGACTGACAAATCCCATGACTGCTGACTGTTCACCTAATATATTCATGCAGCTGACTTCTCCCTATACATCGTGAGGGGCTAAGAGATGAAAAGACAGGACAAATGGATAAAGGAAGAAAAAGATAAGGTAGCATGAAAGAAAGAGATGGCTTTCCCTTTCTCAGATCTTTCTGTTCTCTGTTCAGCTCATTTTTGGATGGCGAGGCTGGGTTCTCCTTGACTGAGTAGCAGAGCAGAATATTAAGATTAAGGAAATAAAACTTGCTTCTCAGCTATTCAAAAAAAATATTTTTTTGAAAAACTATTTTTTAAAAGTTTTATTTTCTCTTTCCTTCCTTTTATTCCTTCCCTGTCTTTCTGTCTTTCTGTCTTTTTGTTTTTAGAGACAGGGTCTTGCTTTGTTGCCCAGGCTGGAGTGCAGTGGCACAATTATAGCTCACTGTAGCCTCAAAATCATGGGCTCCAGGGATCCTCCCACCTCAGCCTTCCAAGTAACAAGTAACTGGGACTATAGGCATGTGCCACCATGCCTTGATATATTTTTTTTTTGTAGTGACAGAGTCTTGCTGTGTTGACCAGGCTGGTCTTGAACTCCTGGCCTTAAGTTATCCTTCCACCTCAGTCTCTCATTACAGATATGAGCCACTGCATCTAGCTCAAAAGGTTTCTTGAGGGAGCCAAACTTACATCTAATTGAGGGACTATCTTTTAATGGAATGCCACTGTGTTCTGAGGCATGACATTAATATCATCATAAGCCAGCCTGTTTCTTACACTTGACATTCTGAAACATGAACTGCTGTCCTTGGCACAAGTATCAATGCCTGGCTTTACCAAAGCACGTTTTGGGGTTTTTCTTTCCCACTTCAACAAGAATGTAAATAGTTACCCACTAAGTAATGCAAATTTCTTCCTTCTAAGCTACAAAATTTAATATTAAGCTTAGAAAGTTATAGCTTTAAAAACCTTTTTCTTTAACACAAGGACCTGCTGTTTCAGCTCAAATATAAATATGCATCGAAATTATGCCAAATCAATAAAATAAAATGATATCCTCTAGATCTTTAGGTTTTAATGTGTTTTCCAACACAGTTTAAGGAATAATATCTAGGATATTCATCTATATTCATCTAAAAAAATAAATGTACCTCCTGCTT